GGTGCAGTGAGAAATCTCACTACACAAGTTCAAAGACAGTGCAGCTTACAAAGCAGTGAATAAGAGGGACTGGAGACAGATTTGCATGGTTGGGCGGGGGAGGGGGCCATGGAAGCTTACTGTGGTCTCAATCTGGCAGCATATTGGTGAAAATTTCCTGGGAAACTTGTGTACAATCCTGACATTCAGTGTGATGCATCTTTGCAAAAGTATATGCACACACACACACACACAGAGAGAGAGAGAGAGAGAGAGAGAGAGAGATCCATTCCACAGAGAGTTGAGCTTAGCTAATTAAAAAGTTGTACTGTAGAGCAGGGACTTTCAAACTTGAATGTCCTGAAGAATCCCCTGGAAAGACTGTTAAAGCATGGACTACTGAATCCCAGACCCAGAAATGCTGAGTCAGTATGGCTGGGATACATCTCAGAATCTGGATTTCTTTCTTTTTTTAAGATTTATTTATTTATTTGAAAGTTACACAGAGAGAGGAGAGGCAGGGAGAAAGAGAGGTCTTCCATCCGATGGTTCACTCCCCAACTGCCTGCGACTGCTGGAGCTATGCCGATCCAAAGCCAAGAGCCAGGAGCTTCTTCTGAGTCTCCCCCGTGGGTGCAGGAGCCCAAGGACTTGAGCCATCTTTTGCTGCTTTCCCAGGCCATAGAAGAGAGCTGGATCGGAAGTGGAGCAGCTGGAACTCAAACAGGCGCCCATATGGGATGCCAGTGCTTCAGGCCAGGGCGTTAACCCACTGCACCACAGCGCACAGCGCCGGCTCCAGAATCTGGATTTTGAACCTGTTTCTGAATGATGCTCATACAGCTGGCCTGGTGACCACACTGTTCATGGCACTGGAGAAGAGTAGGGTGTGATTTTGTTATGAGTGCAAGGTAAAGGATTTAGCACTTGAATATTATAATCAGTAGCTTCCTGAAACTATGTCCTGTGGTTGTACTCCTGTCTTTAGTTTTGTTCTCCACACCCTGTTCCATTCCAGGCCATACTCTTAGACATTACCCTAATTATGTCACTCTCCTGCTTAAAACTGTTAGTGGGGTACCGGTGTTGTGGTGTAGTGGGTTAAGCCACTTCCTGAGATGCCAACATCCTATATGGGTGCCAGTTCATGTCCCAGCTGCTCCACTTCTGATCCATCTCCACGCTAATGTGCCTGGGAAAGTGGCAGAAGATGGCCAAAGTGCTTGGACCCCTGACACCCATGAGAAAGACCTGGATGAAGCTCCTGGCTTCAGATTGGCCCAGCCCTGGCCATTGTGGCCATTTGGGGAGTGAACCAGCAGATGGAAGATACCTTTCTGTCTCTCCCTCTCTCTGTGTAATTCTGCCTTTCAAATAAATAAATAAAAATTAAAATTAAAAAAAACTGAACTGTTAGTAGCTCTGATATGGTTTGGATATTGAATGTCCCCCAAAGATCAACATGTTAAAGGCTTGGTCCAGCATGGTACTGATGGCAGTGATGGAGTCTTTAGGAGGAGGGGCCTAGTGGAAGGTGCTCAAGTCATTGGAGGCATGCCTTCAGAGGTTAGTTCTTATGTGAACCGTTGACTCCTCCTAAGGTGGTTGTTATAAAAGCCTGAGTTTGGGCCCTCCCACTCTCTCTGCTTCTTAGATCACCAGGCCACCCTTCTACATGCACTCCACCATCTGCCATGGGGCCTTCACCAGAAACCGCATCAAGCTGTTGGACTTTCAGTCCCCCAAAGTGTAAGTTCAATAAATCTTTCCTTCCTACTTAGGAAGGAAGCTGGCCTCAGGTATTTCTTTGTAGTAATGAAAAGCTGACTAGCACAGGGTCCCTTTGCCTTTGTGTGGCATGTGAATCCTTTCATAGCCCTCCTAACCTCTTTTAACCTCATGCATTCTACCCTATAGGAAACTCTACAATGTCCTTAATGGAGCCACATTTCTTCTTACCTATGTCTAGAATGCAAACTTCCCTGAGGGTGCCTCTTTTCACTTGGTTAAATTCCATTTCTCCCACAGATGTTATACCCTAAATCAACTGCACAGACAGGTCATTTAAGATTCCAGGTAACGTCCCTCAAGGGTACCTGCAAAGCACTCTTTTATTCTAGAAATGTGGACTGATGACAGAGCTGAGCCCTCCAATAAAATGGGAGCTTCTTGAAGGCAAGCACGGTCTTGGGACTCAGTGCCTGAATAAATAATTTAATAAACCATAACTGAATGTGTGTCACTCAAGACCTGGCAGGAACTAACTATCACATTTGCCCTTCTTGGGACAAAGGACTGATGGCATACTTTCTTCAAGTCTGAACCACCACAGGAAAAACTGTCATGCCATTAATAACCCAGAAGAAATTGTGTCTGTTTTAGAATTTTTTCCATCTGGGCATTACAAGCCACAAAGCAACTGTTTTGCCTCCACAAAGAACAGAGTTTTTTTTTTTTTTTTAAACAGCACACTTTCCCAAAAGGACACTCCTCCCTCCATTGCATTTTGATCTATCCTGATTTAATTTAAAGTGTGAAGATGGGGTCTGACCTTATCTATCAGTGGCTGAGCTGTTGTCTCATGAAAATGTAGTTTGAAACTCATTAATAAGGTAGCCTGTATATTATAACTTAGAAGCTCTGGGTTATCACCGATGCTTGCAATTGCTATGGAAACCGGGTTCACATGCACCTTTTAAAGAGTCTGATTTAAAACATGGGGGAAAAAGATGAACAAAAAGAAGTCTCCTTGAAAGAATAAACTATTTAGTACCCAGCATGCATAGGCAGGTTCAGTGATGCAAAAATGCTCTGCCTACACAATGACAAAAACAATTTCTTATATTTTTTAGGAGCTAATAATGTATAACCTTGTACTAGGAACTGTGTTTATACTGACAGGGAAGAATGCCTAAAGTAGCTTTCTCCCTTGCCCACATGTACACATACAAACACAGACACATACCAACAATTTTCAGTTTTCTCCAGACTTTCTGTAGCCTGCATTCTTAAATTCTCCAAGTGCCTCCACACGTGCAGCTTCGGCTATTAAATCCCAGCCATTGTGGGCACTGGCTGAGTGCTCAATCCCCTCTCCTTCCCCTTGAATGGGCGTTGAATGTTGCATTCTGTCACTCACAGACTGAACACTCCAATGGCAAAGTGGCAGTGCTAATTTGATCACGTTTCTTAATTTAAAACAAATTATTGGTTTTATCGTCCCCAAATCTGGGTTTTGGAGGTTCAATTCTTAGGTCCCTCCTTGCCCACATTTCTGCCTTGTAACCAAAGTGTGGTGTCGTGTTAGGGAAACAATGGTGTGACCATCACCTTGTGGAAAAGCATTCTTCAAGTTGATACCCTATCCCCTCCAGTGTAGAACCACCATGTGTCATTCCCTGCAAAGTCTTCATCTCTCTGTTTACTGCCCCTTGGGACTAGTCTCTGGTTTCCCCTTTATCTCTTCTGCACCCTGCTCTTCCCCTAACTTCAGCCAAGTGTGAGCTGCATCTTCCCTTCTTCTTAGCAGGAACATATCCAGGTGGCTGGGCTTCCTCTTTCCTCACTTTCAGGCAGAAGGAAGTTGGAAGAGAGCAGACCTCTTCTGAAGGCTGGTGCTTGCTCTCTGCAGGCACCTGCAAACCACTTCTATGCATGCAGCTATGTAACCCCAATGAGAATACTTGTCTTTCTTTTGATCAGGCATCCTCTACCCCAGGAGGCCTTTACAAACTACTTCAAAGCCATACAGCACCCCCCTCCCCCACCACACACACTTGGACCCCTTTGGTGGCAGAGATTGTGTTTCATTCATCTTTCTCTCCATAACACAGGAGACAGCTCCTAACACGTGGCTATGCTTGGTAAATGCATAGTTGCTTGTTAGAAGTGTAATGAACAAAAATGCTATTAGCATATTAGCATCTTTGTCCAATTGAATGTCTCTATGCATTCTTGAAGTGACAAAATTATGGAAATGGAGAACAGATGTGGCTATAAAAGGGTACCATGAAAGATCCTTGCATTGATGGAATGTTCTGAATCTTGATTGCATTAAATTGAAACACTGCATGCTGTGTGGTACTATAGTTATGCAATATGTTATCATCGAAAGAAAGTGAATAAAGCGGTACAGGACCTCTCCATTAGTTCTTATAACTGAATTTGAATCTATGATTATCTCAATGAAATTTTAAGTTAAAAATAAAGGAAACACACAAACTCTTTGGGCTTACTTCTGTGTACATTCAGGAACTGCATCAATAATTTTGCAAGATTCTGCCATGAAACAAAGCCCCTCAGTTGTCTAAAAGCTAATTGAGTCAAGTGATGAACAAGTTATTTAGCAAGCTGTATATCAAAACATAACAATTTATCAGTTGAATTCTATCTCTATTTCCTGTCTATAGTACTTTCGCTACTCAATCTGCTTTCTCCACATGTTGGGAGGCTGAAGATAGACCCTGATGGTCAAAATAAAAATGCCACTGTTACAACCAAGGCTAGAAAATTTGAGAGAAGGAGGAGTTCCTAATTGCTTGACTAACTGTAACACTTCACAAAGGTTAAGGGTTTAGGTGTGTGCAATAAAGATGGAGGAAACAATGGGTAAAAGTTAAGACAGGTATGATAAGAGGCTACTGAACTGAGCACATTAGAATTTTAAATATATAGATACCAAATCTGCCCACATAGTGTACAAAACCCTAAACATTGTTGCAATTTTAACCTGATAATTCATGAAAAAATGTCTATTTTTGAAGAAAAAGTTCAGTCATTTCCTTGTAAATGCTAATGGAAAATTAAAAGAAATTTTACATACTAGGTTAAAGAAATTCAACAATAACTCATATTTCTTATCAATGCAAAGATAAGTGCTTTTCACTCTTTGCATTTACCAACCTAGATAACCTGTTGTACCAATTGCATTTTAATCTTTTAACACAACCTTTTCTATAAAAGCCATCACATATAAAAGACAATCTAAATTAGTTCCCCATTAAGCCTCTAATGCATTATCAAGCTATAGAATATACACACTAACAAATAATTTAATGTCAAGATCTGTATTTGTTTTAAATAAACACAATGACAATAAGCAGATAGTAGGCATTTCCTTATTGTCCAAACATTCCCATTTAGTTTCTGCAGTGCAATTTAAGTGTTAAGTAGTTCAGGACTGGTAATATGAGTTCTAAGAACAAGCAGTTCGTCAATAGTGGCAGAGTCTCTGAACAAAGATGGTGGCGATGAAGAGACGTCTTCTACTCGTGGCCATATGGCATTGGCAGTTCGTCACCGGTGGAAGCCTCTGCCGGTTCTTTTGTAGTAGTCTTTTCTTCAGTGGTCAGGCAGAAGCTTTCTTCACTGTCACAGACATCTTCATCCTGTAGGTCTTTTGAGATCAGTTGTCTTGCCAATTTGATGTTCAGTCCCTCGTCGTAGTGCAGCTTCCTCTTCATCTCAAATTGCCGCTGCTTTTCTTGTTTCTGGAATGAGAACTTGCTGGTGTGCGCCTCACAGCTCTCTTGCTCTTCTACTTGATAGCAGTGATCAGAAGTGTGAGTGGCTGCAAGTTTCTTGGCTAACATGTCCACGGACATGCTTTCCTTTGCTTTGACATCACGCATTGGATCTTCCCTCTCATCTCGCACAGTGACACAGGTAGTGCTCGGTTCGTTTATCTTCAGGAAATCGTAGTCCTTGTACGTGGTTGCCAAGATGTTGGATTCATCCCACTTCTGGGACTTCTTCCTCTGGACATCCTGGCGGGCCCCTCCGGGTTCCTGAGTAGAAGCATCCACCGCAGAAGCAGTGGAGCCTTTGTTTTTCAGGATTCCCTTGATTGGCCGGTGCGAGGTGCTGGAGGATGCCATGTTTGGGGAGTAAAGGGCCCCGCGGGAGGGCTGGGCCGACAAATAACCACCTTGCTGCGCTCCAGGTGAAGCTGCGGTGTGGTCTGAACCACGGCTCCCAATGTCTAACAGTAGCTCTAGGGCCCCAGCGGCGTCACAAAGGATTCTGTGAGCCCAGCCCTTGCGTCACTTCCGCTTAGGGCTCGCGGCCCACGGTGACGTGTATCTCCCCCCTCCCCACCATAGAGTGAGACAGGAACGATCCATTCCTTGCACGTGTAATGGGGGCGCATTGCTTTGGGAACTTATATCTCCACCCTATCTGCATACAAGGAAGCTATGTAAAATGTATTTTTTTTTTGTGGCTCACTCAAAAGTTAAAAGTCACTGCTTTGGAAAGATGGTAGGTCTTGGCTAGAAGTTGGAAAACGCTGTTCCTTTCTCCTGCGCTCATCTAGGACCCCCCAACCCCCATACACATACTCTGGTCCTGCTATCCCTTTCTTGTCTCCATGAAAGATTTCAATATCCAGTCACTTACACCAGTTGGGAACCTCGATGTTGTTCCAAGTCCCTTCATATTATTCACTCTCCAATCCAGTCCTTAGATTTTTGGCCTGAATATTTCAAAAAAATTCTCATTTGTCTCTCTTCTGCCACCACCATGTTTCAAGTATCTCACATCCTTTCTTGACTACAGCACAGCCTTTGAATTGGGCCCCCAGTAGCCCTCATCCCCTAATCTTTTATCCACTCTCTAGCCATAATGCTTTTTTTAAAGATGTATTTTATTTGCAAGTCAGAATTACAGAGAGGCAGGGAGAGAGGGAGGGAGGGAGAGAGGGAGGGAGGGAGGGAGAGAGAGAATGAGAGAGAGAGAGAGACTTCCATTCGCTGGTTCACTCCCCAAATGGCCACAACGGCCAGAGCTGTGCTGATCTGAAACCAGGAGCCAGGAGTTTCTTCCAGGTCTCCCACGTGGGTGCAAGGGCCCAAGGACTTGGGCCATCCTCCACTGCTTTCCCAGGCCATAGCAGAGAGCTGAATTGGAAGTAAAGCAGCTGGGACTTGAACTTGTGCCCATGTGGGATGCCAGCACTGCAGGCGGCAACCTTACCCACTATGCCACAGCACTGGACCCAACCATGATGATCTTTGAAAAACACACATCAGATTTTATCATCTGTCTTTCAAGCTTTTTAAGGCTTGCACATCACCCTTAAACATAAAAACTAAAATCCAGAAGAGGCTGAAAAGTAGCTGTGTGGCCTACTCTGCTCAGCAGTCCACCTGGAACCTTCTCTCCCCAAATTCTCCTCAACCTCTCTCCAGTTTGCTATTCTGACCTTTCAATTCAGGGGGCATTCACAATACTTCCTGCCCAAGAGGCTTTTTCCAGGTTCTTTATGCATCCTGGAATATGCCTTCAAATTCAACCTCCATCATTATTGGATTATGGTGACCATTTCCCGATCCTCAAAACAATAGGCTTCTCTATACTTTCATGGCATCTTACTCTCCTTGACAGCACTCAGAGATAATCGCAATACATTATCAGTGTACACGGGATGGTAAACTCCAAGGGGAAACTTATGTGAAAAAGACTCTCCTTTGACTAAACTTTGATCAGGTTTATCTGAGCCTTGTGTTCAGCTAGGCCTGACCTTGGGCTTCTCTCATTGTCCTCGCAGAATCCAATTTGAACACAAATCCCACTAAATCAGTTTAGCGAAAACCTTCCACCCTTGGTATCTATCAACTCTATATATTTGATTAATTCCTCATGCCTTCCCTTGGGTATTTGATTACTCTGGCCTACTTTTAGCAAAAATCCTGTTGGGTTGGTCTAGCAAGATCTTCTCCTCAATGCCTACCACTGATGTTTCATCTCACTGATTTTCTATCCACTGATCCTCACCCAGCTCCTTGGCTATAAATCATTACTTATCCTTGTTGGAATGGGATAAAGCCCAATTTTTCTCCCCCATTGCAAGATCCCACTGCAGTGGGCCCTAATACTTATTGTAATAGTCCTCTATTAGAATCTCCCTCACTGTCTTAACAAATGTCATAAATAATTTTTGCTTTGGCAGTTGTGATGCTCATGAATCAATAGAGATCAGATTCAGCATTGCACCCTGGGCCTTCCACCCAGACCCCGGAGTGTGCACCTTTGAAGCTTTGTCTTCATTCCTGGCTGATTGATGGAAGAAACATTGAGTCAACTCCTGAGCTAGTGCTTGAGATGGCCATCCATTGAAACAAGGTGAGGATGTCTGACCAATTCTGAGTTCACTCTAGAATCTGGTTAGATTCCCAGGCTTCTTTTGAAAATTACATGTCTTTAGTCTGTTTTCTGTTACTAAAACTAAGTAATACAGACTGGGTAATTTATAAAGAATAAAGGTTTATGTGGCTCTTGATTCTGAAGGCTGGGAAATTCAAGGTAAGAGCCTGTATATAGCAACACCTTTTTTGCTGGTAGGGACTCTTTTAGAGTCTCAAGGTGGCACAGGGCATCACATGGCAAGACAGAACATCCTAGTTCGAGTCTCTCCTCATCTTAAGAAAATCAGAGGGCTCCGAGTCCACACATCGGCGCTGGAAGGGGAGCAGACCTGCGTGGAGAGCGTGGGAGCCCACAGTTCGGGACATCAGCGGCAGACTCAACACACCAGCGCTGGAACGCGAGGTGAGCCGAACCTCAATAACCCGAGACACCGGCAGGCAAGCGGAGAGAGGAGACTAGAGGGAACGACCCCCGGGGCGGGGGGGACTTCACCAAGCTAACTGGAAGAGAGAGAGGGGGAAAAAAAAAGGTGACTGGTATGGACACGGGTTTCTCTCTCTCCGCTCACCTCTCAAGGGCGAGCAAGACAAAGAGCAGGCGCCATCTTGGACATACGTCATAAGCAGAGCGACCTCAGGTCTGCACCGGCCCTGAGCCTAGCAGTAAAACCTGACTCTGGGTGGGGCGAATTAACAGGAGATTAGGACTTAGTAAATTTATGGTGCTACTGAACTGAGACTGTGAAAAAAGAGACGGTGGGGGAGAGAACTCACGGAATTCACGTGAGCACTCTCCAGAGACGCTACAATTCCGTAATTTTGGCAACCCAGTGGGAGACTGAAGGAGAATTTGAGCCCACTCTAAGGGCCGAACAGATTCCCTGTGTGGTCCTTGGGAAAGAGCTTCTGATCTCTGGCTCCTGTGGGTATATCATTCGCCTGCTAACTACCTCCAACTTTGTTCAGCTGTGCAGAATAACTTCCCTGTTGAATCAAAAAAAAAAAAGAGAGAGAGAGAGAGAGAGAGAGAGAGGTTTACCACGCCTAACCTGGGAGAGTCACCTTAGGCACACCAAACAGAGCTCTCAGGCCACACCCATCTCAAGCCCTAAGGCTCCCTCAAAAACAGATAGTCCACTTAATCTAGAGTCATAGTATAACAAGAAAAAGCACCACAGTGAAGAAACCAAATATCTCCAATATGACAAATAACAAACGCAAAAACCAAGGTAATAAAAACAAGGAAGTCACCATGAAGCCCTCAAATGAAAAAGACACCCCAATTCAAGATTATGAGGATGATGACATAGAAGAAATGCAAGAAGCAGATCTCAAAAAATTGATAAGAACATTAAGAAGTTCTCAAAAACAAATTCTTGAACTACACAAATCCTTAATGGACAAGATAGAAAATCTCTCTCGTGAAAATGAAATATTAAGGAGGAATCAAAATGAAACGAAACAACTAGTACAACAGGAAACTGGGATAGTGACTGAAGTGAAGAATTCAATAGATCAAATGAAAAACACAATAGAGAGCCTTACAAACAGAATGGGAGAAGCAGAAGAGAGAATATCGGACTTAGAAGACAGAACAGGAAAGGATACAGTCAGACCAAAGAAAAGAAGAGGAAATTAGGAATCTAAAACATATTGTCGGGAATCTTCAGGATACTATTAAAAAACCCAACATTCGGGTTCTAGGAGTTCCTGAAGGCATGGAGAGGGAGAAAGGATTAGAAGGCCTTTTTAGTGAGATATTAGCAGAAAATTTCCCAGGTTTGGAGAAGGACAGAGAAATCCTAGTACAGGAAGCTCACAGAACCCCTAATAAACACGACCAAAAGAGATCCTCACCACGACACGTTGTAATTAAACTCTCCACAGTGAAACATAAAGAAAAGATCCTAAAATGTGCAAGAGAGAAACGTCAGATTACTCTCAGAGGATCTCCAATCAGACTCACAGCTGACTTCTCATCAGAAACTCTACAAGCTAGGAGGGAATGGCAAGATATAGCCCAGGTACTAAGAGAGAACAACTGCCAGCCCAGAATATTATATCCTGCCAAGCTCTCATTTGTGAATGAAGGTGAAATAAAGACTTTTCATAACAAACAGAAATTGAAAGAATTTGTTGCCACTCGTCCAGCCCTGCAAAAGATGCTTAAAGATGTGTTACACACAGAAACAAAGAAACACGGTCATCAATATGAAAGAAGGTAAAGGAAGGAAACCAAGGAAGGAAAGCTCACAGCTAAAGATCACAGGGAATTCAAAGCATATATTAGAACTTATCTTTGGCAAATGGCAGGGCAAAGTTACCACTTATCATTAGTCACATTGAACGTGAATGGCCTGAATTGTCCAGTTAAAAGACACCGTTTGGCTGATTGGGTTAAAAAACAAAACCCATCTATTTGCTGCTTACAAGAAACACATCTTTCCAACAAAGATCCATACAGACTGAAAGTGAAAGGCTGGAAAAAGATATACCATGCCAACAGAAATGAAAAAAGAGCAGGCGTAGCCATCTTAATATCAGACACCATAAACTTTACCACAAAAACCATTAAGAGAGACAAAGAGGGACACTACATAATGATTAAGGGATCAATTCAACAGGAAGATATAACAATTATCAATGTATATGCACCTAACTACAGGGCACCGGTTTATCTAAAAGATTTGTTAACGGACTTAAAGGGAGACTTAGACCCCAATACAATAGTACTGGGGGACTTCAATACTCCTCCACTCTCAGAAATAGACAGATCAATAGGACAGAAGATCAACAAGGATACAGTAGATTTAAACGACACTATAGCCCAAATGGATCTAACAGATATATACAGAACTTTCAATCCTACAGCTAAAGATTATACATTCTTCTCAGCA